TTCTGTCTCTGAGCTCTTCAGGCAGTTCCTTTGACCTCATGATTCTCATTTGCTCTGACATGCACTGTGAGCTGTAAGGTCTTATATAGACAGGTGTGTGGCTTTCCTAATCAAGTCCAATCAGTATAATCAAACACAGCTGGACTCAAATGAAGGTGTAGAACCATCTCAAGGATGATCAGAAGAAATGGACAGCACCTGAGTTAAATATATGAGTGTCACAGCAAAGGGTCTGAATACTTAGGACCATGTGATATTTCAGTTTTTCTTTTTTAATAAATCTGCAAAAATGTCAACAATTCTGTGTTTTTCTGTCAATATGGGGTGCTGTGTGTACATTAATGAGGAAAAAAAATTAACTTAAATGATTTTAGCAAATGGCTGCAATATAACAAAGAGTTAAAAATGTAAGGGGGTCTGAATACTTTCCGTACCCACTGTATGTCTCTGATATAACTGTTTGAATAGCTGGGGTGGCAACAAGATGTAAAAGGACTGAATGTTACCAGCTACGTATGCCAGTTTATTGCATTTTGGCAGTTGCAATACACTAAAGAAAACAAATCGATAATAATATTTGTATAAGACACAGTTTGCAGATACAGTAATGTCAACTGCAAATAGTCATGCATGACAAACTTTATCTTTAATGTATTCAAATATCCAGATGTTCTGAATTGATGTTTATATGTTAGGTCTTCTGTTTAAAAATGCATGCAGAAAATTGTTAAAACTGCACTTCTCTTCGCCTGCAAGATTGTGCAACGTTCCAAAATCAGTTGTGAATGCCCTTTAAATTCCTATTCGGTTTATGAATTTGAATCAAGGCAGCAAACAGGATGCATAAATGTGACCTAAATTCAAAGTAGAATTCAAATGAATGAATATAACTAATTTTTAACTAGAAAATAAATATTTGTAAAATTAGAACTAATTAAATTAGAATTAAAACTAATTAAAATTATTAAAAATCTTTTTTTTTTTTTTTAGAAAATGTGTAGGCCTTATACATTTTATATATACACTTTGCATTCACTTATACATTCAGAATATTTTAAACACTTTGTTTCCCAGAATGCCATTACCTTTGATAAATTCAGTAAATTCCCCTTGTCATTCTAATTCAAATCCTGCATCTGTTAGTCCCTTTCAGTTAATGTCTTTAGATTTTGGAAGGGCCTGTAAATGTTATTGAAACGCACGATAGACGCTGCTACTCAGCCTGGTTGTTTTTTAAATATGAACTGTGTTACAGAGAATTTGAGGGAAGGACCATGCGGTTTGGGAGGCTTAAAGGCAGATGGCATGTTTCCAGAAAGGACCTCTCCTTGTTGTCTGAACAGTTTAGTCTAACTCAAGCGGACCAAAACAATTGTGGGCTTTTAAAGAAATATCTGCAGCCGCATGTATCCAATTTCCCTCAGTGTCAGTTATAGCTGCTGAGTGTTTTTCAGTTGGATTATTTGAGCCACGTCGCAAAAACTGAATTAAAGGCTGACATGCTGTCTGCTTTGACTTGGAGATTGTTGCTTAGAATTTGAAGTCCATATTGCACCGCAATTGCATGGTTATATTTTAGCTGAAACATTTCCTGTATAGTTGAGTTGTTTTTTTTTGTACTTCATAGAATGGCCTCTGGCAAAAATAAAACTAAAGACATACTTAGTATCGTTAACTTTCCCTAAATGGACAGATTTTTTTGTGAGCATTTCCAGCAATCTGCACTACAGGTTTTGAGGGCTTGTGTAATATTTTCAGTTTGGTCAAATGGCACTCTGTTTCTTAGATGGAGGTTTTTCACTATTAAATTTGCATCCTATGCATATTAATGTGGAAAATGTTTTACTTTTCCAGGAGTGCCAGCTGTTGAACAGGCCTGCAATAAAATTAAGCAATATCAAAATATCACTGTCTGGCCAAATGAAATTTCGATATGGAGATTTTTTTTTTTTGAGTTTTCAAAGTATTACAGCGCACAGTGAGTGTAGATGAGCATGTTTTGTAGTCTGCTTCTGGGATTTGATAAAGCTCTTGGACCCGGAAACAGTGATGCATAATGTCATATTGTTATTGCAGCTCAGTTAGTTCAAGCAGTGATTCTACCTGAAGAGAATCAAGTTTAGTCTTTAAACCTAAATAGTAGCATCATTGGACAAACTTTGGCTGTGTGTACCAAACTAATTTGATACAAAAAAGAACTTAGAACTGCAAATACTGTTAAAAACTCCATCTTTCCACCCACACTGTAAAATTACTTTTATTTATTTACGCACTATTTTATAAGTAGGCACCATGAAATCAGAACAACAAAGAAACAGTGTCATCAAAGGAAAACTGTTTGCTGAGTGCTCTTCAGGAAGTTCCTGTAGGGTATCTCTTCTAAAATGCAGGCTCTTTTATTATTGGGGAAGTCCTAACAATAATGTGTTTTTGAGGTGGCCTAAATTTGTCTTTAGCATACATATTATGCACCCTGCCTTGCCAAAAAAAAAAAAAGAAAAAAAAGCCCA